TCGTCCCACTGGCTGTATGGACGCAGTAGCTTGCGTTATAGTTATTTTTTTTCTATTATATGACATGTTATCGTCATCATCAATGTGGACGGTAGGAGGAGCAAACGATGCTCAGTTGAAAACTGATGGAATGTAAAGTTCAAAGTAAACACATGTTCATGCAGTGTATTCTCAGACAGCTCGTTAGTGTGTTGGATCTCTGGTTATAGCTTGGACAAGTATTTAAGTTATCAAACAACGAATCTCTTTCAGTGTTACAACTTCTCGATAAGCTTTGCCATCGGCTTCTGAAACACAGATATGCAAACATGGCTGTTTTTTAAAGCTATTGTATAAATCAAATATTCAGTCATATTGGAAGGCTGACATTATTGCCCCACAAAGGAATTTACACAAATCATATAATTACTTATTGGATGTTTGCTCTTCTGAAAGTTTGATTTTTTGAAAACTTACAATATCAATAATTAAATTATTAGAGTGCCAATTTGATATTTGTGTGAGAACTTCTGTGTGGATATTATTTCGTTGTCAAAGGAAATTTCTGGTAACATGTCAGTAAATACTTCCCTGGAGTGTACAACTATAGGAACTTGTGTGTGCAAATACTGAGCCATCAGTGCTGGTGCAAATTCACAGATAAGGTAAGCTTTTAAGTGTTTCCTTTATATTAGGTACCCTATAAGCTTTTCGACATGTACCTATAATATTAATATTAATGTGTGTATAATCTGACTTTTAAACCTAAAATTGGTTGAAGCATAAATATTGTATACATTATACGTTTACTTTGACAATATAGTCATAGCTTTATTTAACATGAGTTCCGTGTTTCTAGAATGGTAAAGAGAAGCCTGTGCGTTTAACAGTTTTTAGATTAGTTTATGTGATTTATGTAGTTTCTAAAGAAGTAAATGTGTTCTTGATTTATAAATCAAACATGTAAACTGTGTTTCCACATTTTTATATTTAAAAAGAAACCGCCGGAAAATAAGGGGGGAGGGGGAAGAGGAGGGTTTAACACGGTCGCCTTAATTTCTTGAAACATTTCATCGCACCCATTTTAGGCTGTCGACAAGGGAGCAGCCAATGTTAATTCTATAAACAGCCCTTCCCAGACACATTTCTTTATTCTTTAGTTGTTTCAATTGCCTTTTTGTGTGTCAGTTAAAAATGTCTGTTTTGTATTCCAGTGAAATATTTCCGTAATCTTCAGTAGTCAGGTAATTATTTGGGTAAATTTTTGCACATTTAGAAGTATAGTCTTAAACTTAAGTGTCATAAAAGCATTTTAATTTATATGTAATGGTTTTTAGCCAGGCGTTATACATAGATTTTATCTTTAATCGTGCTACGAGAAATATTCTTCTTCTTCTTCTTCTTCTTCTTCTTCTTCTTCTTCTTCTTCTTCTTCTTCTTCTTCTTCTTCTTCTTCTTCTCCTGCTCCTGCTCCTCCCCCTTCTCCTTCTTCTGGGCGTTCACCGGCTGTAAATTCCGGTAGAAAGTTCTGGTTTTCGATTACTTTTAGACTTTAACCTTGTTCCAGAACTTTGGTTTTGCGTGTTCGTCCATTCTACAGATCTGCCGTATTTATATTGAGACTGTTACTTCCTCGCCTCCCATTCAGATACACTCCGAGTTCAAAGAAAACATCACATTTAGTCGTTTTTCACGACATGCTTATTTAGTAAGGGGCCTGAGGTCGATTGTTTTCCCCCAAAATGGACCCCGGACCCATATAAGGAATATTACACTGAGCAGCTGACCGAGAGTTTTTCTGTCAAAAGAAAAAATAAACATCCTTACCTGCACAGTGCATGGCGACAGCATTAGCCATGCGCCCCTATATCCCTATCCCCACGACAGTCTACACCGCCCTAAAAAGCGGTGAATACAGACAGTAGTGACAGTTTAAAAGAAATACATAAATCTAAAATCACAGCAAATGTTATGATGACATGGCAATGGCGGTGTACATTAGCCGATTTCCACACACATCACACATGTCTGGTTTCCTTGCTGGTCACTTGTCATTGCCAGTTGTTCGGACACAGCCATCATGTTTTATTTACGAGGTTAGTGTCCGACATCAGATTTACATTGATCAGATATGTGTGAACTGAGATCTGAACCCAGGTCAACTAAGTTTATAAGCAAAGGGCCAAAAATGTTGCCACCACCAATCACAGGGTGGAGAAATATTAGTTAAATGTAACGTACTAAATGAATGACTGTGGTCAGTTGTATGCTTGTCCTCTGTCATATGACACACGAAATTAATAGCTGCGGTCCTGAACGTGGTTCAAGAAGTGTGCCGGTTGTGGGCTGAGCTGTGCTCCACGCCTTGCACACAGCGGTCACACGTAGACAGGCTCAGTCTCGGCGAAGGAGTTGCGAAAGAAACACGTTCAGTTATTGTACAGTATTATTGTGATTGTAAATGTTTCTTTAGCATTCACTTTAGAATGTCAAACAATTGTAACATAAGAACGTGTTGTTTCTCTTAGAATGTAAGTACATGATTTCATTATTCCAATGTTGTTTTATACTACAGTAAACGATTCCCTTTTTTTTTCTAAACCATTGCAAAATGGTGCTAGATCAAAATATTTTTTAGAACAATCAGTGCTTGATGGAGAATATGGTCAAAATCACACCGGTTATTTTACCTATCATGACATCACCTGAGATCAGTTGTAAGCTGAGTGATCTAGATGTCTAGGTCAATAATAAAAATCCACCTAATGAGGTTTCGAACCTAAACTTTAGAGACATAAATGAGAATGTACAAATACTAGGATTTTCAAAATATATTTTGCATCTCAAAGCGTTTTAATACTGAACCCCTTCCTCCAGTCATAAATATTTGAAAGGTGTCTAAACAGGAACGAGAAAAATAATTACGCAATTCACTTCCTCTTTTATTTTTTTGTTTCTAAATAAAGTGCACAGAATGAAAACAAAAACCAATGACAATTTAAAATCTTTGTAGACAATAAAATTCGTTTCCATATGTTTACAATTATATAATTTTTTAACAATTTTCAGTTTTAGTAATTGGAAGCTACCTGTTGTTTTTTCTCTCTTCACTATTTAGGCGTATAGGGCATATAGGTATTCATTCATTCATTCAGTAGCATGTCCCTCGCGGAACCTCGCTGCCATAACAACCCTCCGGAAAAACTTCCTATCATGAGCAAGATGTCCTGCGTCTGATACACCCATCTGGAGATCATCTGCCACATCCTGCACCCATCTTCTCCTTGGCCTTCCTCTTCCTCTCTTCCCAGGCATATACCCCTCCATTATTGTTCTCTCTAGACTTCCATGACGTTTCAAGTGACCAAAATATTTCAATTTTCTTTGTTTTATTGTCTTTACTAGCCAACCCTCTTCAATATTCAGCTCTTGAAGTATGGATGCATTTGTTCTTTTCTTTACCCAAGATATTCTTAGAACCTGTCTGTAACATTTATATTCAAATGCATTTATGCGCTTTTCCGCTTGTTTAGTAAGTGTCCAGGTCTCACAAGCGTATGTTGCAATGGGAAAGATGCATGCTCTTAAAAATCTGATCTTTGTATTTCTATCTGTACAATTCCATAATTTATTCAGTTGTTTTAGTCTTTGAAGAGCAATTGATAGTCGCCGTTTTATTTCTTTCATTGTGTCACCATTGTTGGTAACCAGTGACCCAAGATATTCGAAATTTTCCACCACTTCCAATCTTTCCTCATTAACATATATTTCCTTCTCCATGGCAGTTTTGTTTGTATGCATTATCTTTGTTTTTGCTATGTTAAGAAATAAGTTATGATTTTCACTATTTCTTTGGAGTGAGGTTAATAAGTTTTCTAAACCATATAGGTATAGACCCATATTTTATAGACTAATATGCACAAGATAGGTGATGGGGTCAGTATCACACCGGACGCCTTTACTTCCCGGGACTGCACCCCGTACCCACCCAAGACTGGGTCGACCTGGGAGCCAAGGCTTTTCTGTGTAGCACGTAAAACAATTGCCACATTTCCAGGGGAGTGGGTGGGGGGGGGGGGGTGAGAAAGAAAGGGTACTTTGATAAGTTAACACTGTCGTAGTAGGCAGTTATTGACATAAGGCTCTTTTTGTGGTTGCTCTGAGAAACTAATTCAGCTATTTCGTAGTAATCCTCTTCTTCCAGTCTCGTCCTGTTCTCCCTATCTTACACGCATCTCTGCCATTTATATGAACGCTAATATGTTTAATATTTCCTAGAAGGAATCCTTAAGTTCCCCATTTTTGTATGTTTGACATTTCTCATCACTATCTTGTTCCATGCATTATGAGTGGACTGCCGTGATTTGTCATCACAAACTATCGCCTGAATGTTGAATTATATCTGTTATGTTACATGCTTTATAACTCCATCGACGTGTTTATCTTTCACTAACACTTGTAGATCTTTCAGTTTATTTCTGAAATTTCTGACATTATACTCACACAAAATCTCGACACAAAATCTCCACTGTCTTCTGATCTTTCTAATCAATTTACGATTTTCAGCCAGCTCCAAAGACATTCTCATATATCTCCAAATGTGTTCTTTTCATATACTTTAGAAATCATACTGTTATTAGCTGCGAGTATTGCTTGAGCCCAAAGAGAATGTAATGAACAGAAAATTTACGCCACTTTGATATGTCTGCTCGTCAATATAATTAGTATAACACTGATATTTATCAGCTGTGATTTGAATTAAGAGAATTCCTGAACATTCAGATCCACAATATGAAAATACACTATTTGTAGAGAATATATTGTGGTGCATGAAATGCAAAATACATAACGTATATTCTAATATACAGGCATTAAATTCGTTTGTTTAAAATTTTTAAAAGTAATAGTGAATGTTTGTATTTATTAAAAATTTCTTTATGTTGTTTTGCCTTTCTCATATAGATTGTTCAGTAAAGACATCAACTCATTTGTAGAAATCGGACAACCTCCTTCCTTAAAACATGATGAACATGAGTATCGGCAACTTGGGCGAATATCTGAGTGGGCTGGTGGGTCATGGCTCCTCACCACCGATGCCGCCCAGCAGTCTAGGTGACCAGTACAACATGTCACAGGCGGCAGGTAAGTTCGCTTAGCCTTCTGACATCTATCCCCAAATGGAGCATAGGCCCTCAGCCATGTCGTTCTATCCTTCGCTATTGCAAGCAGCACTCCACATGACCTCTCCATCTTGTTAACTTCCCTCTCTAGCTCTATTTTTTTTTTTTCGTGTATTTTTTGGTATACCTTTATGTCTATGCCCAAGTGAGTCCCAATGCAAAGTCATCTGGTGATATTGTTCTCAGGTTTTCTCAGCCTGCTCCGATCCAACGCCGGCGTCTTTTCTTCGCCTCTTGATCCACAGGAACTTCTTTAGTTCTCTCCTAAAGCTCAACATAAATGATTCCATCATATAATTTAATTCCCTCTACTCTGCGCAGGCACAAATTAATGAATTTGTAAAAATGCACAGGAAAGAGTAGCTGTGATTTCTAAAAGAGGAGAGGACGAAAGACAGCTTGTCTTCAGAAAAAGAATGCTCGTCTGCTGTGTCAAGCCAGTGAAACATACAGCTGTGATTCCTGGATAATTAATACACAAACCAAACAATTTCCTAATCCTTAAAGTTATGGTTTACAGAATAATCCTTAGAATTCACAGGACAGCCAAAAAAGAGAGCACTACTGAATTTTTATGTGTGTTTTGTTTGGGGGTATGAAGGTCGTCGTTTGTATTATGAGAAGACGGAAACTGGAACATGTTGTAATGTAACTATATGTGGTTAGAAAGACAGAGAAAGACAACGCAAAACGATTTTTCACAGCTTTTATCTTGGTATCTTGGTATATATCACGCGAACTGATTCATGCTGCTGAAGAAAGCAGATTATGGAGAGACATGATATCCCAAGCTAGTCGATAAGATACTCGATGATAACTATTTTTTTCTTTACAGCTTTGACTTCCCATTTTATTTTCAAAGAGCCGAGAATTGAACAGTGCGGACAGCCTAACATGTTGCCCTTTCTGACAAAGCTGTAATGCTTTTTTTTTTTTTTATTCATCTTTTACTAGGTAATAATAAACATCAGCTACAACATCTAAGTATTTACTACAAACGCTGTAATCGTAAATTATGCACGGAGATTTCTGAATACAGAGATTTGCTAATGGGTCTAAGACAAAATGTCTCCGTCCTTATTACATAACCTATAGTTGCCTTTGATTTATTTCAGAAACTGGAGCAGACAGAAGTTGGTTCCTGCCATATTCACCACACTATCCACTTAACGGATTTGGTAAGATAGTCTTTAGATATAAGATGTAATGTAATGTTGTCTCGTGACTTAGGTAATTATTAGCATGGATCTAATTCTTCCTCTAGAAGGTATAAAGATCCTCATTTTGTGTGTTTTCTGGGCCGACTGCTTAAAAATTTTTTCACCATTTTATAAAATAATTCGCTATAATCCAGTTGTTATTGTTACCTGTTTAATTCAGTGGGTGTTATCATTTGATTAACTTTGGATGCACATCAGATTGTGACCGATACCGTCAGTATTGGAACACTGTGCTGGCTGCTGAAGATGAGGACAGAGCATGCATGGGAATGCTTCGAGTGCTGTGATGATAATTCTTGACTCAACTCAACTCTACTTTGGATGCACGTTTTACTTTTTGGGAGCAACAATTTCTTTATGCAGAAAAGTGTATGTAACGTCTGGGCTTAAAATGGAAAGGAACAGTACACAATTACAATCTTTGAACTTTCACGTGTAAGGGTTGTCTATTTCTGAGGCTTCAACGATGCCTTACCCTGTAATAAATATAGTGTTGAATCTACAAATAAAATCAAGGCAGAATCGAACACTTTTTCCTTCAAATTATTAACAGCTAACACATCCAAATGTTCAAAACGTTTATCCTAATTACTGAACTTTTGTTCTTGTAATGTCATTGCGTGCTGATTAACACTCATCGTTTGTTATTCTACTACAGCAGGTTATTGAATGAGTTTTTTATTTTATTTTCTTCTTTTTCTGCCTTTTATCCAGTGGAGCATAGGCCCTCGACCAACTAACGCCAGGTCGTTCTAAACTTGGCTATTGCATGGAGCTCACTCCATGTCCTCCCTATATTTTTTACGTCACTCCTTGTTCCCTTTTCCGTGTATTTTTGGTCTCACTGTATTTCTATGCCCCTGATGGTTCCATTAAATAGCAGTTCAAGTTATATTGTTCTCGAGTTTTCTCAGAGGACCTTATCCCCCAGCGGCATCTTTTCTTCCCCTCTAGGCTCACTGGAACATGTCTCTTTATTTCCTAAAGCTCAACATTAGTGATTATATCCAATTTTATTCCATCTTTTCGGCGCTGGCACCAGTGTTTTTGATGTTTTTAGTTTACTAGTAACTGTTTTAGTTGTTTCCCCTCCATATTGCTGTACTGACTTGATATTAGAATTTAAAATATTTAAGTTTAGTATTCGTATTAGATTATTTAGACATTGTTTATACTTTATTGTAGGACTGTCTAACTCGCACACCCCGGCGAAAGTCAACGACTCCACGGGCACACTGGGCAGTGTATCTCCAAGGTCTGATGACTCGAACCCCGCCCAAGATGAATCTTCTGACCTGTCCGCCACTGACATCAAGAAACACATCGGTGCCACCACAAGAGATTGCGACTCATCAGCAGACGAGACCGGGGATGAGCAGTCGAAGACCTATTCTGGTATTTCAACACTGTCCCAGGAATCGAGAAAGTTCGCAGACGTCAAGCCGCCATACTCCTATATTGCTCTGATAACAATGGCAATAGAGAGCTCCACTAATAGGATGATGACACTAAATGAAATCTACAGCTATATCATGGACAAATTTCCATATTTCAAAGAAAATCAACAAAGATGGCAAAACTCGATTCGACATAACCTATCGCTCAATGACTGCTTCATCAAAGTAGCCCGATCATCTGGAAGACCTGGCAAGGGCAGCTACTGGGCCTTGCACCCTAGCTGTGGAGATATGTTCGGTAACGGAAGTTTTCTTAGGAGAGCTAAGCGATTCAGACTGTCTAGAGTCAAAGCTGAGAGCACAGATTCTATCCCTAGCGCTTATGGGAGTATTAATTTATATAATTCACACTCAGCCAGGTACAAACCCTACTCTTATAATCCAATGGCTTTTAGTTCATTATCGAACGAGCTTTCTCAGGCCCAACAGTATGTTGCCCAGCAAAAGTTCGCAGCCCATCAATGGTCTTCCGTAGCTGGATATGGAACTTATTATAACAACAGCGGCACACATGGAATGCCTCCGACGCCGGTATCTTTGAGCAGTGGACCAGCAGCGGGTACATATTTTCAGAGTCCTAGTATGGCAAATCAGTGTATGGGCATGCCCTCCTACGGGTCGCATAATTTTGCAGGCCCCTCACAGATCAACGGTTACGCACCGGCACATTTTGCAGGAGGCTCACACATAAACACTTCGTCCTTGTCGTGCTTGGAATCGCCCAAATTTCCAGTATCGTATACCAGCCACCAGTTTCCATCGCCCAACCTCAGTGGTTCGTATTTCAGTAGTCCAGCAATGCCAGGATCTCAGTTAGCAAACGCATTTCACGTTCCTGCCACGACCAATACATCGCCGACATCAAGCTGTAGTATCCGCAGCAATGGTTCATCGCTGACGCCAAATACATACTCATGTTCATCATACCAACCCAATTTGTGAACGAAGACACTCGACACAAACCTCAGCTATACAGTTTAAACTTTCGAAATCCGTCCACAATAATCAACTAATTATCTTTCCTGCAGACTAGCTTATATGTGGCACTTTGATACCAGATTGCTAGACACACATTCTTCTGTATAACAAAATGTGCCCAGAAGTCCTTCGCTTAACAATCATGCAGCATTGATGGCCTTACCTGCGACAGTAATCACATGCAGCAGCTCGCAGTCAAAGAATATACGGATATCCCCACAAACGGAAAGTGAACTGGTCAGCACAACACGACGTATATAGGCCGCTTGCCAACTATCGTGGACAGACTGACTTTCATGCATCTCACAGTGGTGCTCTTAGACTCTCAGCGCATCCTTCAATGTGGCACTGATCTGGATTTATATTGATTGACTAAGACAAAACTTGTTTATTGATTGTTAAGAGCCGATAACTCTACGGAGTTGATGTCTTTATTTTATAGACCAGTGCTGAGATGCACCGGTTATTATAGTAAAGTTACTATATATTTTATTGCGACCAGTGGTTTGCTGGACGCAGCTTGTTGTTTTGATACACATTCGCCAAGTTGTTGTCTTTTATTGTTTTGTTACTTGTTATTGAATTGAATAAATAGATATATGACAACAGCGAGTTTTACAGATTCCAGAACATATTACGACAATCTGGCCTTGTAAGTCTCCGAACATGTGTGACTATTTGTGTTTATGTCAGCATATAAATGTCCTGGCAGGCGTTCGACATCTACATTAAATCTGGATAAATTATATCTACACAAATCTTAGCGACAATATTTTACAATGTTACTTTTACTAAGGACGAAAAGCATGATTTGCATGTCCTGACAGGATTCAACTATTTTTAAGTTTCTTGGGTAATAAACTATGTTTCAATTAACAGGAGAAGCAAACAACCAGTGCCCTTTGATCCCATAGTCTAAGCTGTTGTTGGTGAATTATTTGTCCTTGCATTATCCTGTATTGCAGAAGTCTAACTAGATTATTACTTTCTCTCCGCAGTAGTATGGTTTTTTTCCTCCCAGCAATATGGTTAAATGTTTCTTAAATCTGTGCCATAAATACCTCCTTTATATATGTGGCAATTAAGCTGAGATTTAAGTACTATCTAAAGGTTTAGTCCGTAAGGTGATCGAACAGTTCAAGTTTGCAAACACACAGTCGTTAGATGCATGTGCTAACATTGCACTTCAGTTGATTGTTATTAGCGTTTCCTGTTTGTCATAAACGAGTAATTTTGCAATCTGATCTTCGGTCATCTGTAATTGCGAATGCTACAATGAACAGTCCTGAAACTCTAGAATTATACAGATTTGTAATAAGCTTGTCTTTACTGTTATTTCATAAGATCTCTGTAATAAAAACACTTATGTATAAATTATGTTTTAATATATTCCCTCTTGAATAAACTGAGCATATTTAAAGAAAAAAAAAAATTATTTGACGACAGATTTAGCATTTCAGCCTACTGTCACTTCAGACTTTCGATAACATCTTGCCAGATTTTCCAGTCTAATGAATTTTTTCTCTGGCAGTTCGGATATGTAAAGATCTGGGTATTAAAGAAGCATTTTTCAATATTTAGATCTTTGCTCCACATTCACCAAAGGAGCGATAGATCCAAAAATGCTATTTCCGTCTGGGCTACTGTTCTCTTTTCCTTGCTTTGGCACAACTCGCCTTTAGGAACATTTAATTTCAACGTTACTTGGAAATAATTGTTATTGAAAAATTGTCTACTATCAAATTTAACTCGTGCTTCAGCTTCTCCACTTCAAGGATACTGTCACCATTTTTTACCGGCGGTTCCACAGTCACAGAGGTGTTGCTAAACACCTCACTTGCCAGGGAAACCTGCGTTCTGCTAATATTCTGAGGTTGTTACCTAATCTAACTGAACGACTGCAAGAGCCTAATTTAGCAGATCATTTCTCTAGCCGTCAGTAAAGTCATGTATGTGACCAGCTTAGCTCAGCCCTGACAGAAACACACGTGGCTCTCTCCCGTCTGTGTAAGCGTTGGGTTAAGTCGATATAGCTTATTAACCACGGCATGTCCACTAGAGACTAGGTAAGGTATATAACAAAAGTCTAAAGACGTCCCTAGAATGTAGTATATGGCAAATGCATTCAGTCACTTTCTAATGAAGCTAGGCATCCGACTAGTTGTTTACACAATATCAACGATGGCTAATGGTAGCTTCAAGTATATAATGTTAACAGACACGCACGTTGGTAGGTTGTCTGCATTTTGTAATCATCTCATGTTAACATTGTCTAAACATGCATTTAAATTAATCCCGGCTGTTAACAAATCATAGCTACAAATATCCTTCTGTAAGTTTTGAAAGTTTCCAGCTTCGCTTCCAAAATAGTCAATTTTATTGTATAAATTATTCAGTGTCTTATTTAACTCTTGCCTTAGGTGAATTGCTATTGTAAGTACTTGACTGTTGCAATTGCACATTAATCATTGCCTGTACCAATTATATTTATGCATGCAAATTGTGGAAATATCGACATCATTGAAAACTACGTGGTAAAAATAAAGATGTTCAACATTGTATTATTATAATTATATGTCATCTCAGGTCTTCTTTATTGCAGTACTGCGTGTAAAATTGTCTTCAGCTGTATGTCAGAATAAGTAAGTACTGACTTTGATGACTCCTTTCAATATCTTTGAAAATACTAGCCTTCTGGTACTTGTGCCATATAGCTATAGAATAATCAGCACACCTATATGTAAGAGTGTAGCAAGAAACTTACATAGAGAAAGGTGGGAGAGGGGTCGAGAGTAGACTGGACACAAAAATAATTAGTTGAGCGATAAAATACATACACACTTATATCATTTGTGTGCATACTATATGTTAACTATCCTTCAAAGATTTCATTGCAAAATAATTTTTGCGGCGACCATTACAGGCAGTGTCATTCTAGGAGCTTACGTTATTTTTGACGAAACAATATTGCTCGATGAGGATTAGAACCTACGACCTTCAGACCTGTATGTGAGCATCTGGCTGTTGACCACAGTGGCTCATCGTGGACAGGTGCAAATCTAAAGCAAATAACATAAATATCTTTAAAGATTTTGGCTAAAAAGACAGTTGACTAGACTGACCAGAAGTATTACCCACATTCTTTGGTCACATCCTAATCGGGTAAAACTGGCACACGTTGTGACAACAGGAAAGTGCGAAAGAGAAGCAATAGTTTCCCATTATGCCATGCGATATTATCTGTATTAAATACTACTGGCAGAACACAGCACATACGTTTGTTAACAGTGCATAGTGCATACATAACATTGGATAGAAGATGTATCAGAGAGGGGAAAAAGGGGGGGGGGGAGTGTCGTTTAAGGTTAGAAAAGGTTCTTCCACAAGAAATACCTCATTTTCTCTACCGGTCTTCCGACACCCACCCCCCACCCTAACATAAAATAATTAATAAACAAGTTTACAAAATCTGTTGAAGCCAAGAAGTAAATTTTACAAAATACTTTAAATATACTATACACAGTAAGAACAAAAAGTAATCTGAATATTTCGAAAGATGCTAAAATAGAAAATAAAAATAAAAACATCGTTTACAAAAATCAAAATGAGGAGGTCGTCACCCCTCCCCCCCCCCCTTTCTTTTTTGTTTTCTCCCGTTATGAGAAAGGAGAATTTTGAAAAAAAGAGGGGGGGGGGGGTATGTGTGGGTGCGCGTATGGGTATATATATATATATATATATATATATATATATATATATATATATATATATATATATATGTATGTGTGTGTGTGTGTGTGTATTTATATATATATATATATATATAATACGCACACGCGCACCCACACATACCCCCCATGTGTGTGTGTATATATATATATATATATATATATATATATATATATATATATATATATATATATATATATATATATATATATATAAACCTGCATCCAAGTAGTAGCAACAGAGTTGGAAGGAATACTACTAGCCCTATCCATGGACGTGAAATAGCATCCTGAAAACATTGCTATGGCAGGAAAACTAGGCTCTTAGCTTTCGCTGGCAGCTGGTCTAAGAAGAAAGCATTAACAGCGGACAGAAAGAATAGTTTTTCCTTATCCAGCAGCTTCTGTGGTACTTTTTTCTCCAGATGCATCGGTGTCACCTTTGCTTTTGAATTTTCTTAAAAATCAGGTAGGGGGAGTAATCACGCTGAATGGGCAACACATGACTTTAACATTGCTGCCCAAGGCTTGTACTATGGAGAGCAGGAACTTCACCAATGACCTTAAATGTGATTTCCATGCCTACCTACAGTTTAATAGAACACAATCGTCTGTAAATGTGCCACAAATAAATGATTAGAAAACAGACCGTGGTCACTGGAAAAAAACAAAGAAATTGTAAGTGAAGGAAATTTCTTGACTGATTTTTCCCAGCCACCGATTACCGCTAGCAAATAAAGTGATACATGAAGTTATAGGGATACAATGGTTTTCAGATAATATAAAGCTGTCAAAAATTACCTACTCGTTTGTATAGATAGATCACCCTCCAATTCAAGTCTGATGAAACACTGGCCCCACAAAATGGGTACTGAGCGATTATTTATTTTCGAGATATAACATGAGAAGGACATTTGGCTAGGGGAGAACCTGTACTTTATTATGTCCTCACCCAGAATATGTAAAACCGTAACACTTCAGAGTCTTATGGAAGTTTCAGCCACCCTGATACCCTTTTTTTTTTTTTTATATTGACGTACTTTACTCAGAGTCTGGTGTATTTATTTGACAGAATATAAACTTGAATAGAAACGCGGCAAATTAGGGATGGGTACGTAGGGTTACATAAAGTCCTGGAAGGGTTTCATAACAAATAAAAATAAAACTCCATTGTTGACAAATGTGACATGTATCTTTTAGATACAATTTGTGGCTCCTGAAACAGACAGGAGGCGA